ACAAGAAGGAGGCCACCAATTTTTCGGCAACAAGCAAGTCGTGCGAGCCGGCGATCCACGAGCACCAAAAAACCCAATTTCAGGCGAGGAGATTCGAGGACACCCGAGATGCACCAAATTCCGGTGAGTACCAAGAGCACCAGGCCATTCACGACGAGGCAGGCACACTCTGGCTGCAGCCCTCAGCCAAGATAGGCGCGCTTGCTTCGTGTGCGATAGTGGCCATGTTCCAAGACACGATTTTTCCGACCACAAGCCCTCGGAAGTCAAGCGAAGCCTAAGACCTTCTTGTCTGCTCGTGAAAAATGAATGTATAACTTAGATATATTTGAGGTATATTTTAGGTATATCTTAGGTACATTTATGTATATGTGGGTTCTGCCCGTGAGAAACGATCTGCTCGTGAAAATATCTCGAGTGTAGATCTTAGGTATATTTTATGTATATGTGGGTTTTGAAATCGATTTCGAGAAACGATTGAAACTCGATTGTATATTTAAAGTATATTTTACGTATATGTGGTATCGTGAACTTGAATTACGTGAATCTCGATTGTGTATTTTATGCATATTGTACGTATATTTTATGTATATGTGTGTTGTGCAACTTTGGTATATACCCGCAACATATACCCGCAACGTGTAAATTTTTCATACCCGAAATATACAAATTTTCATATCGATACATATACCGAAAATATACTATATATAACCACAACATATACCCGCAACAAGTACATAATATAACTATCTATCAACAAATCAAGCACACCAAGTGTTCGACAATTATCCTCTAAGAAGTTTTTTGTTAGAACAGATAGAAAGAAAGTACATAGTAAACATATATTGTACATATACTGAACATATATTGCAAATGAACTGAACATATACTACATACAAGCAACATATATTGCCGATTGCCTCGTGCCGCGAGTTAAAGAAAAAAAACAAAAAAAAAAAATAAAACAAAGAAAAGGTAATCAGGTTTAAAAATGGGTGCATCATCTTCGGTGCACGCCGTCTGAAGTTGTTGATGTCCACCACAAGCCGCCTGAAGTCGCCGACGACTCCCGATTTCTCACCTCGACGGCGGACGATAAATGATAGAGCACGGATCCAACTCAAGTACCATCTTCTCCACTCTAATCGGCAGATCCTTCCCATCAATAACGCCATTAAAAAGCTCCAGAAACTCCCAATCCACGAGCCCGCTGTCTCCGTCCCCTTCTCGTGAGTCCTCCATCTCCACCGTCAACCTTCAGAATCGCTTCGTTCGCTACTTATTCATGACGCATACAGAGAATGGAAAATCCATCTCCGATCGTTATCCTACGCCGCCATAGACGTCTCCGAACCCGCCTCCGATTTCTTTCTCCTCAGCCCGGGCATAAGAGAAGCCCCGTTTCCATTCGGACCTCTACGCCGTCGGATCAGCCACTGGCATCCCGTTGGCCGGCCATCCAATCGACACCCGGGGCGGTGGGGGCTCCCTCGCCCTTCCCGGCAGAGGAAAATTTCACCTCAGGGTTCGATTTATCATAAAAAAAATAGAGAAAAAATTTTAACTTGAAGAGAAAATATAAACATAAAGTTGTAGAAGAAGAAGAAGAAGAAGAAGAAGAAGAAGAAGAAGAAGAAGAAGAAGAGGGAGAGAGAAGAACCTGTGGGGATGGTGAACGTGGGCGGTGGGTGCTTTTTTGTTGGAGAGATATTATCTTCACCGTAAAATCAACAACTTCCTTAATTATTCCAATTAATTTAAACAGTTACTCTTAGGTATATCTGCAATATTTTAGGTTGATTTTAGTACAATTATAAATATTTCCTTAATAAGTGTATAATTATTATATATTTGGAATCTTGAAGTAGAGGGTGCAAATTCCTAAAACCTCTTGCATTTGCACGAATGTTATACGAGGTGTTTAGTTTGGGTATGAGGAATCCCTCAACTTGGGCTTCTCCTTTTTTGAAGTCTCAAATGATAATGGGCTTATCAGTTGATCCTTAACTTGGACCCAAAAAAATCCAAAACTATCTCCCTGTCTTTGTTTCGCTATATACAATAAACGCACGCTAGGGTTTTTATTTCCACATTATCCACTGCTCATTTCCCTTCGCTCGTCACTCTACCTTCTTACTCGGTCGGCTCTTTCTCGCAGTTGGCAGAGGTAATTTCTGCTTTCTAGATTCGATTCTTACCGTACTCTTCTACTAGCTGATGGTAATTTAGTTTTCCTTCATTGTTCGATCTAATTTTAGTCAATGTTTCGCCATATGTGTGTGTGTTCATTTCTGAGCGTCTCTTGCATTGAATTATGAAGCCTCCTCATTGGATACTGCTTTGTGGTTATTTCTTTGTTTCGAGATTTCTCTTTATCTCGATTTCTTGTCTGGAAACCTCAATTACACCGTGAATTCATGTTTTCCAGCTTCTGATTGTTTTGTAGTTCTTCTTAGTTGACTAACAGTTAATGGGCATATTGTAGCTGAATTTGAATCTTTTAAGGGAGTTTGTGTACTCTTCCTTGTTGGATGCTACTTCATTTCTTTTTCAGTATTGTCATATGTTTGCTTAGCCCACCTGCTTATCCCCTTATTTATTTATTCTATACCTGTTTTTTCTTAAAGTTGTTTGATGGCTGTGCATAGAACAGAAGTTATTGATTTAAGTTGGCCCCTGTAAAATTGATTGGTTCACTAAACAAAATGTTACATTTTGTTTAGATAGATTAACTTTCTAGGTTATATTGGGAAGTCATGTTAATTTATTGTCCATCTTAGTCTTCTCATCTGTGAGAAAGAATTAAATCACCCTTCTCTGTTTTTAGTGTTGAACATTCAAGGGTTAGTGCAGTTTTAATCTAGAGTTACAGTCCTGATTGTTTTTATTCGATTGCAGATGAATGTGGAAAAATTACAGAAGATGGCCGGCTCAGTCCGCACCGGTGGAAAGGGTACCATGAGAAGGTCTTTATTTTATGGTTGTTTATTTTCCTGTCCTTGTAATATTGGTAAATAACATATGCTAGGTTTTCAAATGAAATTGTGTATTGCAGAAGAGAAGTACCCTTAATAAGTCGAACATGTTATGTTGAAAACTGTACTATAGACTATTACTACATCTTTTCCTTCTTAAACGATTTCTTCATTGGGTTGCAGAAAGAAGAAGGCTGTGCACAAGACTACCACGACTGATGACAAAAGGCTTCAGAGCACCTTGAAAAGAATAGGGGTGAATGCCATACCTGCAATTGAGGAAGTTAATATTTTCAAGGATGATGCAGTTATCCAGTTTGTTAACCCTAAAGGTACAATTTTTGCCACTGGAATTGTAACTTCCATTTGTTTGTTTGTCTGTTTGTACTTAATTTGTGTGTTTATTTTTTTTTTGTTTTTATTTCCAGTTCAAGCGTCTATTGCTGCCAACACCTGGGTTGTTAGTGGTACTCCTCAGAACAAGAGTAAGTATTGCTTTCCCAAATGGCTAACATTGTCGATGGATATATCAGTTTGTAATTTGGAATCTGTCACTGTTTTTCGCACAATTTCTCAATTATTTTACTTTTTACTATTGAATTCTGTATAGGTCAATTTCATTTTAATTTGTCATTTAATAGCAGTAGTGTTTTTTGGCATTTCAATTGCATTGAACCATTTTGGTTTGATTTCGGCGTTTCATTGTACTTGATTTTTCGCCTTTCATTGTATTTCCATGTTAACTTAAGTTGACGTTTTGTTTTGTTTATTTTGCAGAGCTGACAGATATTCTTCCTTCCATCATTCATCAATTGGGTACGTCTAATTTCTCTCCCTTTTTTTTTATATTTATATAATTGTTCCATTCCAATTCTACTGAAATCTTATGTGATTAAAAATTCACAGGTCCGGATAACTTAGAAAATTTGAAGAAATTGGCCGAACAATTTCAGAAGCAGGGTCCGGCTGCAGGTGGTGCCGCTTCTGGTGTAAGTGGGCCACAAGCAGATGATGATGATGATGAGGTGCCTGAGCTTGTTGCTGGTGAGACATTTGAAGCTGCTGCGGATGAAGCCAATACTCAAAAAGCATCTTAACTAGCTCTTTTTTATTTGTACCAATGCTTATATTTTCAAGTGTTCTGAAAATTGTTAATTTGATTTTGAACCTGTATCAAATGATGGTGCTATTTGCTTTTCGTTGGTTATTTCTTTGTTCACGATGGCCTTCTATGCTTTTATATCTTAGTGATTGGGGCTTAAAATTCTTTAAACCTGTTTTATTATGTAGACATGGCCACGCGTTGGATTGGCCATGTCTTAACCTGTTTTTTATAAGTGGTTGAGTACTTTTTAATATACAAAAATATCAAGTTCTTGTGATGGATGACCACCAAAACAAAAAATATGTAATATCTTCATGTGGTGATCAATTGTCATAGGTACCATTGTTTACCGACGTCCCGGGTGTCTTCGAAGAATATACTAATGAGGTGGTCGAACACTTGTTTCAATCTTTAGAAGATATCCAAGGGTGACTTGAATGTCGCTACTCAAGCTCAAGTGGTGGTCGGGGTTTCGTGTCGACATTTGGTATTCAATATATTCATAAGACATTTCATGAAGGTTTCGATTTGAGTAGGGGTTCGTAGACATCTATATGTATTTGGAATTGATCTTCGCCTGACAATCAGAAGAAATATGCTTACATAATTGGCATTGGGTACGAAACTCGACACATACAAATCCATCATTGGGGCCAAATGGGCATTGGCTCGAGCCAAATTAAGCCCCATATAGACATGGAAGTGAAAACGACATCTGGGGTTGGATTTGTCGATCAAGTTATTCTTCTTTATTTCAATGCTGATTCAATGCTGATGCATATCACAGTTACCTAACTAAATTTGTTTGTACTGATTCTCTTTTGGTTTTGGTGATTCTTATTTATACTAAATTTTGCTCAAGTCGCTTGGCTGCGAGTCAGCTTCCACACGACTGAGAAAAAGATTAGTTTTGACGCAAACATTTGATAGTTGACGGACCCTTTGTTGGGTTCGGTGAAGAACGTCGGCCTAAATGCATTCAACACTATCAAATTGAATCATAATTGACCGGAATTTATTGTTAGGATTGAGGACTGACGTTTCAAAATTTTTGGAGATTTTGAGACGATTTCCACAACCTACGGAGCTAGACGAATGATTCTGAGACGCGTCCTCTAGCCAACTTCCTCGTCGTGCACTTACCTTCGCCGAGTCGTCGACCGCTGCTTGCTGCTCAACGTGCGTTCTCGCGGGATGCTGGTCGCTGCGCACTCGTGGCTCACTGTGCCGCCCGATCGCCTGGTTGTCTTTTGCGTCGCTAGGAGCTGCGTTGTTGTTCCGTTGCTGGGAAGCATCGCGCGACCACCTGGTGGCGTCTACGGATGGTGCACTCTAGTGGGTGAGGGTGGTGGTCGTCGTTCGTTGTCGAGGGATGCTGGTCGCTGCGCGCTCGTGGCTCGCTGCGTTGCCCGATCGCCTGGCTCTTTACTGCGTCGCTGGGAGCTGCGTTGCCTGTTGCGTCAATGGGAAGCATATCTCGACCACCTGGTGGCATCTGCGGATGGTGCGCGCTAGTGGCTATGGGTGGTGGTCGTCGTTCGTCGTTGAGGGATGGTGGTCACTGCGCACTCGTGTCTCGCTGCGTCGCCCGATCGCCTGGTTGTCTATTGCGTCGCTGAGAGCTACATTGCTTGTTGGGTCGCTGGGAAGCATCATGCGACCATGTGGTGGCGTCTGCGGATGGTGCGCGCTTGTGGTTGTGGGTGGTGGCCGCCGCCAAGTCGCCTCGCCGTTGTGCGCCTGGTGCCGCCGGGTTTTTACCGCGTGCGGTGGTCGCCGGTGGCCAGGTACACCGAGTTTTGTGGTCGTCTGACAAGCCCCGAGAATATATATATTCGTAGGGATGAATAATACGAGACCTTTTTTATCTTCTATCGTATAACCGATCACCTGCTCCGATTTTCCGTGGTCGATGGCTCGTCGGATCTCCCGAACCTCTCACAAAGTCACACAATTTTTCTCCTCTGTTTGGCTCTCGATTTTTCATGATTTCTTGCTCAAGAAGAAGAAGAAACTCACTTGTGTTATGTCTCGGAAGCTAAAGACTTAGTGTAATTATAGGCTACTATATGGGCCTAAGAAGGTGCTAAATATGGGCTCCGCAATTGTACATACAACTGTGGGCTTATCCCACTTCACACACAACTGAATAATGTTAAATACCACTATAATAATATTATTGAATTCTTCGTTTAGCCCTAGAAGTACAAATAATTCGTCTCGCAGCTAATTGTTCGATTTACCTCTCCACAAAAGTTAGTTTAATTTCGTATGGGCTGTGAACAAATAATTTATAGTTTACAAGTTTCTTTTCGACACATCGAACCATATTATCTACTATGTAAAATAAAGGAACTATGTTCGCATAAATATATAAACTACAAACATACCCTTGACTAAAACATAATTCTTATTCAAAATGGTGTTGTCAGCCAGAGCTTTTACAGGATACCCTATCAATCTCCCACTTATACTCTATAAAGCTTTTGGCTATATTAAGTATACTCTTTCAATCTAATTCTTAAGAATGGTCTAGCTAGTCATTATGCGCCTGACTCTCATTCCTTCCACGTACATCTCGAAGACCCCGTCCAGAAGGCTCTTCGTAAAATGATCTTTCAAGTTGTTGACGCAATAAACGCAACAACGATCTCTCCTCGTCCAATGATGTCTCGTATCAGATGGAACTTACACTCTATGTGTTTACTCGCCCTATAAGTCCGTGGTCTTCAAGTTTGCTATTGCTCCGCTGTTGTCCCAAAAAATCGTGATTACGGGAAAACTTGGTACCACGTTAAGGTCTAACAAAATTCCTGAGCCAAACTGTTTCCTTCGCTGCCTATGAGGTTGCAACGTACTCGACTTCCATCGGGGAGTTTGCCACACATGTCTGCTTGACACTCTGCCAAACTATGGTTCCACCTCCCACAGGAAACACAAAGTGGATTTACTTTCATTCCAGTCTGAATGGAAATCAGAATCTGTATATCTTAACGTGAGCAACTTGTTTGCTCGGTAACTAACATATATTCCTTAGTCGTTATTAGGTACTTGAGTATATTCTTTACCGCAGCCCAATGCCCAGAGGCGAAAAAGGGTTTCGTCAAACCTTATAATCTATATGAGCGGCTACAACCAAGAGAATACCGGTGGACTTGCACATAGCTACCGGCGAAAAGGGTTTCGTCATAATCTATTATCTCTTTCTTAGTATACCTCTTCGCAACAAGCCTAGTCTTGAAGGTCTCAACCTTCCTATCTGATCTTCTCTTTCTCTTAGAGACCCACTTGCATCTAATGGCGCGAATGCCACTGGGTGGTTCTACTAGATCTCAGACCTAATTGGAATCCATTGAATCCATTTCATCCTTCATCGAACTTTGCCAAGACTACATCCCGATTTTGGAGTGCCTCATCGTAAGTCTTGGGTCGATATCAAGTCCATCCGAGACTGTCTCAGAAGAAACATGAATCAATCACGTTGCCTGACAACTTCACCACTACGAAGAGGTACTACCAACTCAGGTGTCGCCGATGACACGTATTGTAGTATTTTGTGGTGTATCATCAAATGCAGGTAGTATTGGGATATTAACTCCCTTACACAATGTGTTATAAAACAAGAAATAATAATCGAAGACATTCATGGCGATGCCACGCCTTATTATGCAATAATAATGCTATTTTAATATAATAATTTGACATAAATGTTGGCATAATTAATGTGTAAGAATAAGAGTTGTTGATTTCAAAATTGACATGCCATCAAAAATCACCATGACAAACCATGACAAACCACTGAATCTTGTAATGTGTATATTATGTCAAACTCTAAGTTATCAATAGATATAGGATGGAAAGTAGAGAATTATGATTAGTGCTATTAAATTAAACGAGCCTGGTTCGACTCAGCTTGTTAAGTCTCGAGTTCGAGACCTTAACGAGCCGAGCTCGAGCTCATTTAAAGCTCGTTCAAGCTAGGCTCAATAAGACTTGAAAAAAGAATTTTTATATAATTTTTTATAGTTCAGCTCGTTAAAGCTCGAGATCGGCTCGTTAAGGCTCGAGCTCGAGCTCGATTTTTAGCTCGTTTATCTAATGAGCGAGCTCGGCTCAACTCGTTAAGAGCTCGAGCACCTTAAGCTCGAGCTCGGCTCGGCTGTTAAAACAGCCCTACATTTATGATAAATTTTTTTAAAGAGAATGAAAATATATAACTTATGAATAAATATGAATGGAAATACAAGGATAAATATTGATGAGACATGATAATACTAGCATTATTATTAAAGAGTAAGAGTTTCATTTATTTATGGTTCATTCTTCGAGAGAACCATCCACCAATTACCATTCCTAATTCCCCAAACGAACCTCAACTTTATTATTCTATGGCTGTAGAGTCACATTCTTGGCTGCACCTTCACACGCTCTTCCTTTTGTGTATACAATGAGAACTCATTCATATTCCAAGAAAACCTATAAATACTAAG